TCCCCAATTCTGCCCTGACTGCTGCATTACTTGTGCGCTTGGAGCATCCTAGGATGATTTTCGCTGCTTTCATCTGCGCCGCCTCGAGTTCTTTCACTACCTTCTTATTTCCTTCCCATACTTCTCCGGCGTACTCCAGCGGCGGTACGATTACGCTCTTCAAAACCGTCAATTTGATGCGTGTATCAAGGTGCCGGTTTGCGAGTATTGGGTGAAGCTTCCCTGCTCGTGCTTTGCCCTTTTCCGCTACCTTGGACATGTGTGCATTCCACGAGCAATCTTTTGCGATCTCTACTCCGATTAGGGGGGGGGGGGCTTAAGTATCCGAAAATGCATTCGCGATCATCCTGGCGCTCAGATAGCCACACCAGTGGGGCGAAACGTTCTGAGTACAGTCGGCTTGCGCTTGGTAAGCGGAGTACAACAGAGCAGGGGCGATCGAGATTTACGCCTATTGCCCACACAACGTGTTTTTTTGTTGACGTCTTCCAGTCGAAGTTTCATTCAGCAGGCGTGGCCTTCATGACAAGCTTCGGTCCTCGGGCGGTGATGCGATCAAACCAAGAAATGCCCGAAAAAATAGCTTGGGAAAAGGGAAGGTTCATTCCACCGTGCGTCCCGCAAGCCTACTGCGCGATTGACGGGGGAGGTCCGATGGGTGTGGCGCATCCGGCGGTGGGGAGGCGAGGGGTATATTGTGCTCAATTGACCTCTTCGCAATGAGCGAAATCGAGTCCCCAGCTGCGACATCACAACAACGGGAGACGCAGAATCATTGATGGTTAACTGCAGGGTCTCTTTTCCACGAGATCAGGTTGCCAGTGTTCGCACCTCCAAGACATCATAGATATTTTACCCATTGACACGCTTGTAACGTCAGGCTCCCCCCCATCCGCCACAAACAGCAGCTACTTCCAAGTAATCACACCAGCCACGACTGTCTACCTTGCATTCGACACCCTCCCCCTCGCCTAAGCTCTACAGGTGTTTAGCGACAGACCCAGCAGCAGAAACAACAGGCAGGTCTACTGTACGACGAGGGCACACAAGACGCTTCCTCGGAAATCGACGCCCCTCTCTTCCTCGGAAAACGACGCCCCTCTCGGCTAATAATCATCATGCGCATGAATGCCCACCATACAGTCGACGTGCGCCCCACGCTACCCAGAAGACGCGGCAAACAACTTGCGAGGGAGCCGCCACAAAAACACTGGATTGGCGAGCGTTCGCGCAACAGGTGGTCCCCCCTTGGTCAACACATGCAACTAGCGCCTTTGCTATCGCCTGACTCATATGCTGCCGGCAGCAACAACGTATCGAGGCGGTCTTGACTAACTCGTCATGGCTCTTGCTTGTATACTCAGACCTAGAGAAGGCAAGAGAGAAAACGTCCTAACCACGGGCGCAACGGAAGTGAGGAGGCAGAAAAAAAGCAAGAAAAACTCGACAAGAATAGCAGACGAACCGCACATCCAGCAAACCAGCATCCATATTCAAGGGGGGCCCAGGGCGTGTTCATGCAAAAAAAAGCCGGAGTTAAACACATAGAAAGTCCTCTCGCACATAACTCCATTCTTAGGCGACGACCAAGATTCAGCTCTCTCGCAGGGTTCAGTCCTGGCACCTACTTCGGTATCAGCTCTCCAGCCAGCACCATCACACCACCAGTGGCCACCACCTGGCGCGAAGAATCAAATGGCTATCGCAGGCTCGAGAAAAGGACACCGCTCCGACCTCCTCGTGTGCTTGAAACCTGGACAACAGCAGAGGTAATGGAGGAAAAGCAAGAAGATGGCGCTTTGTCACAACACACCTATCAACGGCATTGCGTGGCATCATGCCGTGTTCCCAACTACCAAAAGTCAGTTCTAACTATCCAACAAAGACCTGGTATGTAAGCGCAACAGAGGATCTACATGCCCTTGCCGGTAGCCCAGGCAGTGGATGGTGCCAAAATGAAGGGAATGTGGGTGTTATTGTTGTTGTTGTTGTTGTGGTTGTTGTTTTCGTCCTATTTATCATGGCGACAGTCCCCCCATTTTTCATGGTGAGACGTGTATGTACAATTCTAGAGTACTACACTTTTCAGTGTATTTCTTGTACAACTACAACCATCCAGGGTTACACAGGAGGGGGTAAACACCTGGGTTTTCTTCTGTTACATTTTGTTTTCGTGCCCATCCTCCTCCTGCCGTGCGTGCTGAATATTGTTTTTGGTATCGCGAGGATGATCCAGCCGTCCCTTTCCCTCGTCGACGGTGCTAACGTCGAAGTTTGGTGCTAAGTTTGGTACTCACGAGAGCTTTTCAGCTTTTGTCAAAGTTGTAATTCTTTCACCCCATGGGGATACGAACTCACGACTTCGCCAACACGAGCCGTTTTGAGGTTACCACTAGACCACCGGGGCGAGTTGCTTTGCGAAAAACAGCTATCGATACCAAGAAAAACCATAGTCTTGACTGCATGCAAAATCAACTTGACGCATCCGCTAGTCTCCTGAACGGCATGCCCAGCTACAGCACGACCACAGTAGTTCCCTTGCAGGCTGTTGGATATCGGCCACGAGCACATCACAGCACACAACCGAGACCACGAGGAGAACAAAAGAGTGGTTGGCTCTCGCTTCCGAAACGCAAAAGTGATCTCGGGCAACCGGAATGATCGACCCTGACAGAACTACTGCTGTAGGTTTTCTTGTTCAGCGCACCCGTTCAAAACCCTCGATCGTTGCGCACCTCCAGCGCGAATGTTTCCAGTTCATGGAATCCGAAACTACTAGTGCATCCGCTGCGCGAAACTTTACACACGGTAGCATCATATTTGAAGCAAACCAAAACTAACTGTGTCAGGCCAGGTCGATCAATCCCCTGTTTGCCAAGGCCAAGGAAGTGGCGATGCCAAGCAATCGAGAAAAACACTTCTGCAAGTCCCATGCTTGTGGACGACAGTGCGCCCGACAGCGCACGAGAACACGTCTTCCATTTTCGCTTTGTTGGCGACGAAATTACCATCAACCCCAAGGCCAAACTCTCACCTCACAGAAAGCCCACCACCAAGCGGAACAACCCATCAACCTCCAGTCCGATCAGCCTGCCGACCAAATCCTTCCAGTCGGACATCAATTGATCTTCTGTCTTCATATCATTCCCATCCGAGTCCTCGCCGCTGACCCTCGCCACCTTGGAGCTGCTGCTGCTGCTGCTGCTGCTGCTGCTGCTGCTGCTGCTGCTGCTGCTTCTGCAGGCGATGTGCACCCTGGTCGGGCAGGAACGGCTCAGCACCAGCCAGCCGCGGCGACGCCATGACCTGTCGGCTGGAGCGCGCGCCAGCACGCGGCGAATGCGCTGGTTGTCGGCCTCGATTTCGTCGTCGTTGCGATCCTCATCTCCCCACACTCCTATCTCGTCTGCAGGCGTGTCTGCCCTGTGGTTCTTCAGCATCTCATCTGCTCCCCAACGCAGCAGAAGCTCTACACCAGAAACATTCCCCCACATGCAAGCGACATGCAGTGGCGTCTGATTGCAGTCGTCACGCACATTGACATCCGCCCCTCCCTCCAACAGCGCGCGGATCATGCAGATCGATGCCATCCGACGATTGACGGCGACATGTAGAGGCGTGAAGATATCATCGCTGGCGTGGGCGTCGGTCTTCACGTTGACGTCAGCACCAGCTTCCAAGAGTGCACGGACAGCATCGCCGTTATCATGGACAGATCTGTCAACATAAGCAGCATAGTGCAGGGCTGTCCATCCGCGACCATCGGTGGCATCGACTTCACGGCTGTCTTTGTCAAGGAAGGCTTTCAACATTGCCGCGTTACCTCTGCTTGCAGCAGCCTGAAGCGGAGAACGGTAGTCCATGGTAAGAATGCCCTGGTCGGCACCGGCAGCTAGAAGCTCTTGGACAGCCCTGAGGTGGTTGTTTGCTGCCGCCTTGAACAGTGGCGTTTCACCTTTCCCATCAGTCACGTCCTTGTCTGCACCGCCCATCAAAAGCTCAGAGATACACAGCGTATGACCAATGGCAGCAGCGAGATGGAGAGGAGTCTCCAGGAATAAATTCATCGGGTCTGCAGATTGGGCCTCTTTCCGAAGAAGAAGGATACCTATTACTCGGTGGTGCCCTGCTTCGGCAGCGAGGTGGAGCGGACTATCGCCGTCAACATTGCCAAGATTTGGGTCTGCTCCGGCCATCATGAGCGCCTTCGAGGCATCCTCTGCTCCCCGCGCTACCGTAACGTGGAGAGCGGATTCGCGTGTAGCCCCGAAGCTGGTGTTTACAAACTCCGTCTCCCCAGCCTCGAGTAAAGCCTGGACCATCACGTCGCTTTTGTTGCCGCACGCAGCCGCGCCCAGCAGCGTTCGTTCGCGGTGACCCCAACCCTGCCAGCCTGGTTCCCCGCCGGCACCAGCGTCTATCAGCCGTGTGAAGAGATCAAGGTTTCCTTTGGCCGCGGCATGCTCCAGTGGTGTCCGAAGCCACTGCTTCCATTGCTTCGATGTCGCCTCCTCCTTGACGAGTTTGAAGATCTCTATCTCGAAGCCGTCAACGCGTGAGCGGTCTTCTTCGCGTTCCGAAGCTGACATGGGCGTCTTGGGTTACGGCAACGGGGGCTTTCTGATAACGTAGTGCTCTCTCCAATTGCAATCTTACACGTGGTTTGTGTTGCTACTAGTTCTGGCAGGAGTTGAAGGAGGTAGGCTGAGAGTGGCACAGACAGCAGTGAGTGCTGAGTCAAGTGGGGAACGAGTTGACACGACGGAAGCACGGGTACAACGTACAACACACGCACAATCGTGGCTCAGCGACCATGGGTAGGGCAAACCGGGAACGAGTTATATTCATTTTTATATTAATTTCGTGCGAAGCGTGAAAAAAATACGAAGAGGCGTTTTGGCTGAAGCCTTCATTTTTCCCGTACAGTAGCGGCTACGGTTTAAGAGAGGGTCGGTACAAGCCAATTTCACTCTCTTAAATCCGGCTTTCTGTTATATCGTGTTGGCTACGATATAAGAGAGAATTTTCTTAAACAGAATCTCACTTTAAGATAATTCTCTCTTATATCGTAGACAAAACTGAAGGTCGTGAAACAGGGGCTCTCGCGCACTGACTACACTCGAATGCCAAAATAGGTCATAAAGAGAGCGTATCATGCATGTCACTTGCGCAGCTAGCGTTACCACGTCGGGCTACCTCCAAACACCGCTCATTCTCTTGGTTGGCAAGCACGTGGACCCAAGCACTGCTGTACGTTGTACGCTTTTGGTGGATCTGCGTTCGGAAAAATAAATCATCGTCGTGTGATGCGATGCACATTTTTGCACGTGGACACGTAAAAGGTTTTGGTTGAGTTGTTTTATAGCTGGGTTTCATAGTTGCACCTCTTCTAGAAGGACAACACGAGGCGACGAATGCACCAGCACTCAAGAACGACGCACCCGTTTACACACTGCACCTTCCTCCCACCGTACCCTCAACATATGTAACACCCTCATACCTCTCATCCCATCGATTTGAACCCCCGACAAAAACACGAGTCAACGAACAAAAAACAGCTTCACAATATCAAAACATCACTCGCCGTACAAATAACACAAACCCAAGAAACCAACGCTACCCTGGCGACCTGTCAGCCTGAACACGATCTGCGCTGCAACCGTCAAAGGAAGTCGCTCATGCACGTCTGCTTGGTTTCCCTCGAACCGTAGGCACTCATCCACGCTAGCTTAGCCTTGCGGAGGTGAAAAGACACTTCGGACATGCGGCACTTCTCGGCAGTATCCTCAAGTTCACCAAAATGATTTGCTACATTCGCGTACGGCGGCGGAGCCGGGGCCGCTGCCGCCGCCGACTGTCCCGATTGGCGTAGCTCAACCAGGTCGTCGTCCTCGTCGTCAGAGGAAAGATCCATGCCCACCAAATTCTCATCACAGAGGTCCTCTACCATCTCTGTAACGATCGCTTCGGCTACCTCCACGTTGTCCTCTACAGCCTGAAGTCATGCGCTCACGGGAGGAAAGGCAGTTGTGGCAGATGCGATGCATCTCGGAGGTGCCCTGAGGGTCCACCACACCACAGGTGCCATGGAGGTACTGCCTGCAGACTCCTCTACATTGGTGGTTTGTGAACGCCGGCGGGCCTGGCGTGTGATCGGGGACAGCCGTGCAGCGACTGCCCGCCACGCAGGGCATGGTGTCTGCAGCTGTGTGGGTGTGTGTGTCCACGTGGTTTCCACATTGTTCGATTTAAGAGAAAAATCCCAGCTGCAAAAGGAAATTTCTCTTAAATCGATTGTTATTGGTACACGCCAATTCCTCTCTCTTAAATCCGTAGCCGCTACTGTATTTACTATTTACCCTCTGTTGTTTTGGCTGTATCTCGCTCGAACCGAGCTCGAATTCAAAAGCATTTTTTGCTCTGCATTCCCTGGCACTTTGCGAGGAAGACTGATGAATGTACATCGGAATGTACATGTTATTGCGGCCGAGGGAGTGTACCATTTCAGAGGCTTTGATGTTTGTGCGGAAGGTACCACCCTTTTCTAGTTTTTCCTTCGAAAGCGTCTGTCTGTTGTACGTGTGTTTCTTTCAAATCGAGCTCGAGCTCGATTTTAAAGTTGTGTTTAGCTGTACATTGGGCATACTACGACAAGGACCTGTTAGTATACCCTTGTAAGTGTGTTGAAGATGATGGTATCACTTGTATTTAGGACAGCAGACACGATCAGGACGCGGCGGGAGAGAGAGAGTGCCACGACACAGCAAGCAATCCCGCAGGGTCGATCAACCATGAAACCAACCCAGGGGACTATCAATTCCTATCTGCGTAGCCAATTCCTACAGTCCCGTTGGAATATTCTCATCCGCTCATGCACACACGAACACCCTCCCTGGTTCTTTACGCTAGTAACTAACCACTAGTGGGCATGCACACGCCGGATGTGACGAAAACCCAAACGGGCAAAAAAACCAACGCGAAAAAACAACAGGGGGGAAACCCGGCCTCCGGGTCAAAACCCCCACCAATATTCACCGTTCCACCAGATACTGTCACTGATGCGCGATTAGAGCAAGATCAATACATGCATAATACCAGTCGCGCCAGAATCCACGCTCGGAATCTATATCTACGAACGTGGGCGGCGTGCTATCATATTCTTCCTGCATTAAGTACCAAGATCATAACCCTGTTTCCAACAACGGCCTATCTTAATTCTTGGTGAGCAATAACGTAAGACTATCCTGAGGAGTTGGTTCAAACAACTACCATGCGGCTGCACTACATCAGACAAACATCGAAATCGCCCCCCCTCGCTGACGAAACACAGCGCACCGGGGCAAAGGGCAATCATCCAAAATTTTCTGAGTGACACACAACCGGCATGCATTTTTCGACAATCCTCTGTTCTCGTCCGACGTACGACACTGGTGTCCCAATTTTAATTTTTCCTCATACGTTCCTTCAGCGGTTCCAACAGTATCCCATATTCCTGCACATTTCGCAACCTGGAGAACGGCCCCACGTGGCCGCAATCAAGAAGGGTTTCAACCAAATGACTACCAGGAAAACACTGAACATGTGGACGCGAAGGCCTCCGAGAAACACGAAACACCCTCCCTGGCTCTTCAACCAAAGTGCACTCATGACAACTAACGAGGATCACCAACTTCGCTACGAATACCATCAAACACCAAATACCGTCAAGAAAGAAGTGCCAATCCAGCACTGTGATGCGTGTTGCTCCCCTCCCAGCGCTCGTCCCGGCCTGTAGCCTCGCCAGAAAAGGAGTTCCCGTTTTAGCATCACGAGGCAAGTACCCTCCCCCCCACGCCCCTTCCGACGTGCCGCGGGGTTCCCCCTCACGCCCTTTCCGGCGCGCCACGGGGCTGCTTCGATTTTCTCCCCCCCTCACGCCCCGTCCGACGCGCCATGGGGCCTTAGATTTTTTTTTGTTTGTTGCCCTCCCGCGCCCCTCCCGTCGCGGCTGCGAACACATGGCCCTCCCGCCGTGTTATTTTGTTGTTGCCCTCCCGCGCCCCTCCCGTCGCGGCTGCGAGCACACGGGCC